TGGTGGATTAAAATCTTCCAACTACTCACCTAGATAGCAGCTCAAGTAAAATTCAAAATAAATCTGTTCAATTTTGCCCTTAAAATACTTGCAATAATCTTGAAATTTCTTATTCATAGTAATTTTAAAATAAAATGCCAAACGTTTACTATGATACTGTTGTTACTACAGTTGTTATGTCTACTGTACTATGGTTTATTTTACTAAGACCCTATGGTCACTATAGTTCTATGTCACCATAATTAATATGATAAATATGGAATTATGGTTACTATCGTACTATTTTTACAATAGTCACTATGGAACTATGATGCTGTGGTTAATATTGTGTTACGGTTACTGTGGTTACTTTAGTGCTATGGTTACTATGGTTTTACTCTCTTTACTACAGTGCTATGGCCACTATAGTTCTATAGTGACTATAAATTATGGAACCATAATAAACTAATATTAATGAGATATAATGATCACTATGGTTACTATAATCACTATGGTTACCATGATCACTATGGTTACTGTGATAACTATGGTTACTATGATCACTATGGTTACTATCGTACCACAGTTACTATGGTACTATGGCCACTAAGATAACTATGGTTACTATGATCAGTATGGTTACTACGATCACTATGGTTACTATCGTACCACAGTTACTTGGTACTATGGTCACTATGATCACTATGGTTACTTTGATCACTATGGTTATACTATCATACCACAGTTACTTTGTAATATGGTCACTATGATCACTATGGTTACTTTGATCACTATGGTTACTTTGATCACTATGGTTACTATCATACCACAGTTACTATGGTACTATGGTCACTATGATCACTATGGTTACTTTGATCACTATGGTTATACTATCATACCACAGTTACTTTGTACTATGGTCACTATGATAACTATGGTTACTATGATCACTATGGTTACTATCGTACCACAGTTACTATGGTACTATGGCCACTAAGATAACTATGGTTACTATGATCAGTATGGTTACTACGATCACTATGGTTACTATCGTACCACAGGTATTTGGTACTATGGTCACTATAATCACTATGGTTACTTTGATCACAATGGTTATACTATCATATCACAGTTACTTTGTACTATGGTCACTATGATCACTATGGTTACTTTGATCACTATGGTTACTTTGATCACTATGGTTACTATCATACCACAGTTACTTGGTACTATGGTCACTATGATCACTATGGTTACTATCATACCACAGTTACTTGGTACCTACTATGTTCACTATAATAACTATGGTTACTTAAATAACTATGGTTACTTTGATCACTATGGTTACTATCATACCACAGTTACTACTGTACTATGGTTACTTTGATCACTATGGTAATTTTTTCAGTGATGTTTTCTCACCGCTACTCTTAGTCCGCAGATGTTTTCGTAATCATCGTACATCAGCTGGACTCTTGGGTCGTCTCCAGCAATATACAGTGACACCTTGTCAAAGTCCTCATGAGCCTTCAGGAACCTATAGTCATTGTTGATCTTTCCCGTCGACAACGGGATGTTGAACTTACCACTGACGGGGAACTCGTACTTCACTGTAATTGTCAGCTGATTAACACATGTGGAAAATAAGATAACAATAAACACAATTAGCCACTTCATACATCGTTAAAATATTGTATTTCTAAGGGTAAATGAAAAGAGTATGTCTCACCCTTGTAAAAGATGCTAACTTGAAACCATCGAACTAGATGTAACCATTGATTGAGACATTTAAGGAGCTATTGTATCTAAATGGATCAGTTTTAACCTCATTTTCATTGAATTATAACATAGCCATTCTCGGCGTGAAGAAGATGAAAATGTATTTCTCCCTCATTTTCGTTACATTCATAGTTGATGAAAAACCAAAGATAATATACCATACAATTACTTTTCCTTTAAGTTGGTCAGGGTTGAAAGTCTTCGGATTCAACATAAATCAGTTTGTCAGTTATTTTTATTTTCATTAATGAATATACCCTACTAGGAAACAAATAGCTTCAACTTATGCATACAACTAGCATACGTACGTTTCAAATCGGTCCATTTTACTCCACCACCTAAAAAAAAACAAATCAATCGTGGTTAAAGATATAAGAAATATGTAAAATATTTAACAGCCCTGTGAACAAAATATGTTCTAAATAATTTTAAAGCGTGTCTTAAAATAAGGTTGTTAACATTCAACTACCTAATACTGTACAACTATGTGAAATTTGTAGTTGAGAAATTTAAACATGTTAAATTTACCTAATATTTTATTATTGTACATTGTGCAAGAAATTGCGGTCATGTAACAATTAAAGCAATTACATTTTAAAATTTAAAGACTTTAACGGTTTTAAACAATCTATCTTGTGCAACCTGATTGGTAACTAAGATGTATGCTATAGTCGTATTTATAATATTACTTGCTAGAAACCGACCTTTTCCAAGGTGTGCTAAGTTCAACAGAGCTTCTGAATCAGCTGATAAAGCCAAAACTCCCAAGACTGTAACAATCGCTGTTATCCACATTGTCACTAACCTCAATTCCAAAACTGTGATGACTTATAAGAGAGCTGTCTTGATTGAACAGATGTTTTTGTGTAAGTGTAAACACACATTTACACAGCTTTCATCACTAGACATCACTCTTGTGATTGAAAGCTACTATTTTTGCCTCTTGGCAGAGCTTCGTTTGAAGAAAACTTTTTTTTGTTGAAATCTATTTCAAAATAACATCCTTTAAAACTGTGAGAACGGTAGTTAACATTAGTGACCCTAAAATTACTAATAATTCTTTTTAATTACAAATTTAAATAATTAATCGAAACCAAATGTCTTTAAATAAATCATAAGTTTTGGCGTTTTGTGCTACATATTGTTTCTTGCTTCTTCAATCTATTGCTATTTACATATACTGGGTTATTGAAGATATTGAATATTTCTGATACCATATTATCTACCTATTAATATTAAAAATTAGAGTTCTAGTGTGAACATTTTTAGGTTCCAACTGTGAACTGAGGCATTTTTATAGGCATTTTTAATAGGCATTTTTTATAGTTGAGGAACTATAAAACTAAGTAACGTTTGCAACATCGTATGACAACATACTGAACTTGTTTCCTACTTAGGTTCAACGTGAAGATGTCAACTTGCTCATCTCTGAAGGAGTTTCGTTTACAACTTGACTCTAATGTGCTTCAAGTTAACTCGTCAACGTCAAAGTCAACACACGAACGTCAACGTCGGAGACTAAAGTTATGATGAGTTGATAAATTACTGGATAAAGTTTACTCAATATTCCTGAAATCTTGAAGAACAAAATTTGTATGTGTTCGCATCCGCTAGTAAATGGGCTACATGTAATACTAAATATACAGAAAGGGCATGAGAAAATTTTCTAGTAATGTCAAACATAAAAATACTGAATTCCAATTGTTGAAGGAGTCTTTCTGTTCAGTAAATTTTATTGCCGATGTTTTGTGTAAGTGATATAACTTTTAAACAGGTAATATTGTTCAACAAGAATCTTGAAACTTCGGAGTAAAAAGGGGTTTATTCATTTTGTAGCCTCCAGAACTGATAAAATATATAATAAAGGTTGCATACTTCATTTTACTTTCATTACTTTCATTTTATGCAATTCCTGTATTTAGTACCATGACTATGTATATTTAGGTTATAGTCCTACCACCAAATAAGGTATTCAAATCACGATACATCATCTTCGGTCCACAGTTTGCACCAAGTTTTACAAAACTAGTTTCTTTCATCAATGAACTTAAAACATGCTTAGTTTACTAGTATTTACAATATAAAAAGTCACAGCAATACAGTGCTAGATTCAGATTTTGATCAATATGAGTAGCACTTTGAGTAGTTTTAATTAATCGGTTGTAAGTAGGTGTTTATGATTATAAAAAGGTCAGTCATACGCTGTTATAATATCGCCATAACCCAAGTAAAGAGCTATTTACCTTATTTTGCTATTTACCTTGGCAGATTATTTCAGTAATTAAATGTTATTGTAAATCTTCTTCATAAGAAGATATAAAATATGTTTGATATTCCTCAAGCAAAAATGTCCATATTAGTATTGTGAAAAAAATGCAAATACCTTTTAATTATATACCACAGATTTGTAATACGAATTCAGAATTAAATATTAGCTAAAAATATATTCCTAAGGTACAGTGGAATTTAATTCTTCCATTAATTACTACAGTAAACAATGAGGTGTCAGACGGTCGGCTTGGTAGTGTTCCAGGAACCATTGTACAAGGAAATCTGAACTAGACGTGAATTTCTCTGGTAATTTTTTTAATATAATTTGGTTTAAGATTAATATAAAATTTTCGTCTCTAAGAGAATATAAGACAACCAATATATTAAAATATGTCTATAAATATTGACCACATTCTAATGTAAATGAATTTAATTTTATTTCGGCGAATTTCCTATTAAGGAAATAAGCTACATTGCCTTAGGTGGCACGGACGTCGGACATGCCTAGGCCTGGGACCGATTTACCTTTTTTATGTTCCCAGAGGCCGAAAACATTATTCGTTCTAATATTACATGTGTGGGTGAACTTTGATGAAATTTTGTTTGTGGATACCAAGCCATGGTATCTCAAGGTATTACTTTTTCCTACCTAGATATTTCCAGACATTTCATACAATAACATTTGCCTAATAAACTACTATCAGTGTTGAAAGCTATATTATTTATTTTTTTATTTCCAATTTTGTTTTTAAGTCAACGTAATATTGGTTCATCGGTACACGAGCTTTTCACTAAATTCAAACAAGATTTTTAAAATGCCTTAACATCTTAATAATAACATATTTTCATATTTTGAATTTAGGTTAGAGGAAAACTTATCGAACATTACTGCAGCGTATGACGACAATTAATAATTTCGAGCAATTTGCGAACAGCTGTTATCTCACAGCTGTTTCTGACAAGGAATGTTCAGTTATCTCGCAGAGCTGTGTTTGAATCATGGGCGATTCTGGGTTCTCAATATTCATCGTTTGCAGTTTGTTTCTACAAATCCAAAGTAATTTATAATATTTATATTTAAATAGGAAAGCTAATGTAAATGATAAAATACTATTCAGTTTATGTTGATTATTTTAATTGTAATTACTATAGTTGCATAATACTGAGAAATATATCAAATTATCAATAGATTTTGTTTTTATAACATTCAATGTTTTGCCGACTATTTTAGTTGCATACATTACCAACTATTATTTTTATTTTAAGTATTATGTAAGCACTCAACATATTTGTTACTTACATTGTATATTGGGTTTCAGCAATCGCAGAAGACCACGACTGGACAAATTTGAAAAGTAAGTTTTGAATCCTAACTTACTAAGCTCCACTGAATAGTGTAAACGGTTTTTTAATGTTCAAGGATTTAAACCAAACATTTTAGTAATATTTACAGTTATTTTTAACAATTAACAAACTTTTTCAACTAATATACTTTTTTAGGGTTTTAAATAATGTTTACTTTTTTATAATCATGTGTAACAATGTATAACCAATTTTATATTTTTTAATTATTTTACCGTATTGTAAGGTATTCCATAAGTTCATAATTAGAAGAGAAATATATAAAATTATCAATATATTTTGTTTTTATAACATTCCTATTTTAGTTACATACATTACCAACTATTATTTTATTTTTTAAGTATTATGTAAGCACTCGACATATTTGTTACTTACATTGTATATTGGATTTCAGCAATCGCAGAAGAAAACACCTGGACAAATTTGAAAGGTAAGTTTTGAATTCTAACTTCCTAAGCTCCACTTAACAGATTAAACTGTTTTTTTAATGTTCAAGGACTTAAACCAAAATTGTTCGTAAAATTGACAGTTATTTTTAACAATTAACAAACTTTTTTAACTAATATACTGTTTTAAGTTTTTAAATAATGTTTACTTTTTTACAATCATGTGTAAGAATTTATAACCTATTTCATATTTTTTTTATGGTATTTAATTATTTTACCGTATTGTAAGGTATTCCAGAGGTTCATAATTTTCTCAGATAACTTACCTGAAGGCTTGCAAAAAAGGTGTTTAAAGGTTATATGAAGTAAAGGCTGTTTAATTAAAATCTTATTCGATTGTGGTATGCCTTACAATAATTTCCCTTCCTTTCTGCCTTTACAGTATACGGATAGTGCTAGTTTTATGAACGCATACATCAACAATTATTTTCATTCATACGAAATAATTTGAACCATTTACTTAACCTAAATATATAGTGACTTCAAATTGCAACTTTTTGGACTAGGTTTAAAATTAGGGAACTTACTACATTAAACAATGTATTAGTTTAAGGGGGTCTTATTTTTAATAGTTAGCTACGTTTTTGGTGTCATAATCATCTTTATTCAATCAATGTTTATTCAAGTTTAGTAAGCGAAATAAGTTAACACAATTAATGTTACATTTAGTGAAAAATACGATAACATCAATGTTGTGGATACTAAATGTTATAGAGATGAGGTTAGGCTTGAGATTGCAAAGGTATGAGATGGTTTTAGATCAAATTCTACTAAGCCTTGTACAGCAAAAGCTATATTTAAACCCAATAAGATGATAAGCGATGATCTGTGAATATATTTATACAGTTATTGCTGAAAAAGATTGTTTATATTTGTATTCCAGTCAGATTTGCTCCAC